AAAATTCGACAAGACAAAGTAATATTAATATTTATCATTACGAGAAACTTTAATAATTGATATGTTTATTATTTTTAGTATTTTGACAATTATTTTATTGTATTTCAAAAAATTTAACCAACGAATTAAATGCGATTTTTGGCATTTTATCATTTGTTTTGATGGGTGATAATATCAAAATTATAATAGTATCAAATATGCAAAATATTTTACGCACTGCATGGTCATTTATGATTTTACATCAATATGATAACAAATTCTGAATATTTATAGAAAATATTTTGCTATATGATTGTTTACGTTCTTTGATATTTCAATGTTATCAAATTTTACTCTAATCAAAATATTTTATTATCATATATTTGTGATTGTGTAATTCAACTAGCAACTACTTTCAAACCAAAAATAATACAAATTAATAGCAATTGAAATTTAATAGAAAGCTTTAATTCAATTGATCATTTTTCTGGATTAACTTCAAATAATTTGAATTTATTATTTTAGATGCGAAATTACTCGATATAAAGCAAGTATAAAAAAAGGAAGACAAATTTCGAAAGATACAATTTTGAAATAGAATTTGTAATAGTATAAAATGCAGAAATTTGAAAGGATAAAAGAAGGAAGTAAAATTTTGTAAAATTATTGATATAATCAAAAGCAATCAATTTTGCAATATTTATACTTTAAATAATTTGCGCTTTCATTCGATCTTCAAGCCAATGAAGGGTTTTGTAATAGAAATTTTTATATGGTTTGTATAAAATTTTGATTAATTTGAAAGAGAAATTTACAATTACCTCAGCATTGTCAAGTAAACGTTACAATATTTCATATATCGAATTCAATCTGAATTATCTGCAAAAGTTGTAAAATTGTAAAATAAAAATTATTCTGGCTATTGTCAATTTACTCGATTACTGTAAATGCACTTTGGCTAATGTGAACTCACTTTGGTTATTGTAAATTCATCGTCATTAGTGTCAATTTATTCTGGCTACTGTCAATTTACTCGATTACTGTAAATTCACTTTGACTAATATGAATTCACTTTGTTTATTATAAATTTATCTTCATTAGTGTCAATTTATTCTGGCTACTGTTAATTTACTCGACTATGTAAATTCACTTTGATTACATATAGAAGCAACAAAATATCAAAACGAGCCAATAAATTTGCAGAAAAACATTAAACAAAATATCAGATTAACCAAAATCGCTTGACTTATTTATTACTTGGCGGTTATTGCAGGCTTATTAATGGATGTCATTGCATTTTGACAGTTATCGTATGCTGGGTCATTTTTCACTGCGCAAGAAATTTGATCAGGTATTTGACGTTTCCTGAAAATGATTTCCGTTACATTTACTTTGGATCCTGGAGAATGAAATTCATTAAAAAGTTATATTGATACTACAAAGCAACTAATCGGAAAATGATTTAATTTTACTTAATTCTTCTAATTTTGTCACAAGTTTTCAATTCCACCACTTTTGGACCAACATATTTGAGGACATAATCTCCTATACCGTGACATTGGTTCACCATATCTTTGGATGATGACCAAATGATAGTACCTTGTACACCCATAACAAAGGCTGTATTCAGTGAATGAGATAAATCATCCTGAAAATTTGCTATAATTAGACGGAAAGTACAAATCTAAGATATTTCAAATATAATGACAGATTATAATGCAAAATCGGATATTGCATGTATAAATTTGTAAAATCTGGTTTGCGTTTTGTATTTTTTTTT